ATATTATATTATATTATATTATATTATATTATATTAGTAATAATATTATTGTACAATATTATTATTATAATATTGTGCGCCTCGTATGAAGAACCTTGTAATTCGCCTGAAGATTACCAGTATACTACGAAAAGTTCCTTATGTTCATTCCTCCTCTCTCCAACGCAAGGGAATTTAGAGCCGGACCAAAGAGCGACTCTTTAGCCCTTGTGTTTAGAATCAGTACGAAAGTCTACACCAAGTCGGCACGCTACCCGTAAATATTTCAACTTCGCGGCGGTGTTTCCGGTTACACTAAGAAAAAATCGATGACTATAATTCTCATCTCAACCGGAACTACTATATACACTCCCTGCGAAGTCAGCTCATCAGAACTATTGTCAACCCCAAAATTGCTCACCGTATAGAATTTTTCAAATTGATCTGAAAGTGATACCCAGGTGAGGGTGCAATTTTCATCAAGTAGGTGCAAGAAAACATTTACTCAAGTAGTGAATAATTGAAATACGTTCATAAATGAAATTTAAAATGTAGTCAATTTTAGATGCACTTCGAAAATATAGCCAGTCTGACATAATTTCAGCAGCTCACATGAAAAAAACTATTACATCCACAACTAAATTATTCTCAGACATGGCTTTCAAACTCTAAAGTCATCAACAGGATTCGGGATCATTACTCCTCAGAGCAGAAACATAATCATTTTATTACTGAAACATTAATTTCAATAACTTCTTTGGAAAATTGGCCCCTGACTTGTTGGCATGTTGTTAGACAAGAATGCAAAATGAGATTAAAACAGAATTGCAGACATAGAGCTTATGACGTCAGCTACAGTTTGATCACTTCTGTAGCTCAGACGTATTATGCTACAGAGAGATCAATTTCATTGTTAAGATGAGGCAAGCGGTCAAAGTTCGGCCGGTGATAACACGGCCGTAACTTAGCGCTAGTTTTCTCATAACAATTCAATGGCAATTGTGCAACCACATCTGTCCGCTATCCAAATATCGTACTTGTTGCTGAATTATGTGAACCAGAAAGTAATGTTGGATATGCGAATCAGCAATATAATTATAATGCATACATTTTCTGAGATATTTATTTTCTCTGCTGTTTTCTCAGTATACCATTAGTCTGGAAACAAAATTAAGCCTGAATTGCCCAAACAATTTTCCAGGTGCATTAACAACATCCATTGTTCAATATTATGTAACCGAGAATCACTGCCAGCGTCAGCAATTCCATTGAATAATATTCAGCTCCTATAGCAGCGGAGGACGCTTATTGTCCCGGAAGCGCCGTGTTGTCCCGGACTGCCGGCTAACGTCCCGCATGAAGCGACTTGGTGCACGATCATAAACTGCTCATTATGGAGGAGGCTTCGAATGGAACATCATTGTTCTCAAGCCTCATCGTTGTTCTCTTATGTAAATAATAAAAAGATTACCATGCTATTAAGATGCAGAGATGATCTGAACAGTCCGTCACAGAAGAGCTATGAGGTAGAATGTTACAAGCTCACCATTATCTGATGGTAGAGTTGGTTGTCCCAGCGACTGAGGTACAATCTGTTTTAATTATTATTTTTGATCGTAAAATTACAAACGAAATGAAATTCATTTACATGATATTAAAGCTAATACGAATGAAATGCGGCCTTCATGTTACTCGAGTTTTAGTCTAATATATATGTATTAGGCGCGAGAAGACATTTCTTCCCGTAATAATGAAAAAATTTTAAGTAGGTACAGAGAAAATTCAAGATTTATTCATTATTAAATCACAGTGCGGAAATTCATAGAACATTAAGCGAACACTTTATTAGAGTTTTGAATTGGTACTAATCTTCCAGTTGGGATGACAGCAGCGATTCATTACTATTAGGTTCACATTCAGAGTCATTCACCCTACCGAAAACAGCTGGCACTCGGATCGAAATTATCGAACTTTTTAGCTTGAAAAATTATTCTTTCAGACGCTAACAAGAAAAATTCATACCCGACTCGTAACTACTGAACACTAGACTTAAATCTGTTCGTTCGGCTGTATTTGTATCCTTAATCAAACTATTCTCACTTAATGGTCTTGTGCATCCAGCCGTCAGCTGGATTCCGAGACTTGACTGCACACAAAAGCCACATAATGAGTCGTTTTACGGATTGAAGCATAGTTGGTGCCCAGGTTCCATTTAGTGCGGCATCAGAGGCGTTGTATTGTTTAATCGTTGCATATGTATAAGCCAACCGTTCGTCGGTATAGGTTTTCTAGTCGATAACTTTGAGTGCAGATCATTGATTTTGTCGTTACGCGAAATTCTTCAGAAATAAAGGATTAAATAAGTAGAATATTATTACGACGTTAATGTCACATGTATTAGTCCATTATACTATACAAAATTTTCAATCTACAAATTTAATACAATGTGGCCACGTTATGTTGTTAATGGTACAAGCATACAGTATTTCTTGTGTTTGTTATGCTGTACTAAAGATGTTGATAATTACTATAAGGTTAAACAAGTGCTGTCGAAATTTTTACATGTTAAATACAGATTTTTGAATTATTATTGCACAGACACAAAAAACAATTAAAGATCCGTGCTTTAGAGTATTTTTCAGATTAAGTTGGATGGTATAAATTCAAAATGAAGTTCAATAGTAAGCGTTGGTACAATATTATCCAATATCCACTATCAAGTTAAGAAACTTTGTAATGGTCGGAAACTGGGGCGATTACACTGATTATACAATTAATTTACAAGTTGATATTGCACAGATGCAACCGTTTAGCTTTAGTACTTCTGATAAAATCACGCGTTATATACTATAGAACCTATAAAAGAAAACAATTAGTCCCTCACATAACATTAAGAACAAACAAATGACCACCAGGATATTATTTCCACACGCACTGTGTAAGGTATGCTGTTATGGACCGCAAAACTCTATGTAAGCAATGGTGTATGCTTGTTACTACATTACAGTAGCTATAAGAATAGCTAATTAGTTGTACAATTGATCAGTTACCCTGCCTTTCATAAGATTTACTTTGCAATAAATCATCTGCGCGACAATAATCGTTGCCGTCTGCCCCGGCTTGTGACACGGGAGGTGTGCAGCGTAGGAGTCACAGGGTGGGAGCGCTTACGAACAACCTTCTCAGCGGAGCCTCCGGTGATCGTCACGACAGGACGGTAGCCATTTTCATCTGCCGTCCAACGCACGTGGACGGTGCTACCGTCAGTTTGTTTGTAACTGAAATTTCCAGAATCGGTGAAAAAAAGAGAAGAAACTTCGATAATGTAAATTTCTTTTATATTTCAGAGTGCCGGTAAACGTCTGTAATTACTTAACTTCGGAAGACATGAACAACTTTTGCTTAAAAAATTGACAAGTGATAGCAGACCTCCATAAAAGCTGTGATTAAAACTGCAGTGACTAGCAGCAGAACACCAGGCATGGCTGAAGTCCCTCATCGATCATTAACCCAATCAAGATCATTATGTAAATAATCAATTATTAACTACAGTACATCGCTCGCTCGTTGATGTAAAACAAAAATGAAATGAACAATGGAGCACAAATTGAGATGATATAAAGATATTTGATCTGACCTGTATTCCCCACTCATGATGGTGCCTCCGTTGGCTCCATTGCGCCCTGCCATTCGGGTGCGGATGCCGTTTTCTGTCTCGAACCTGAAGCCGAAGGAGCCATCCTTCTCCGGGTGCTGACGCTGGTCCAGCAAGATGGCGACGTGGCCATCGCCGTTGGGGTCGTGGAGCCCCAGCGACGCAGCACAGGCGCACCAGCAGACCAGCACCAGCAGAGGGTTCTGAGGGTCAAGGTAATTATTAATAAATCAAGTGTTGTTATTATATCATTTATACCGGGATTCAGCCTGAATTGTTCATGCCTCGAGACAATTCACCAGTGAGACGTACAGTATATAGGAGCGATTCTCATACATTAAAATGCATAAATGACATTAGTGATTTCATTTAATTTGTTAATCTCTATCATTTAAAATAAGGATGTGGCCACCAAAATTGATACTTATTTTGTTTTTCTTAATCATGAAAGAAGCGAAATCCCTACAATAAACATAGTTACTTGATGAGATCACAGTTTGTTGATTGTTTGCCCCAAAATCATGTATTAAAGTTTTCAAAATACCAAATGTTTTGAGAGTTTTATTTATAAATTTTTTTTTTATAATTGGACTGAATTAAATTATAAATAACCGTATCTTCAATTGCGAATTACGCCGTTAATAGCAAAGCAATTAAGTGATCCCAGCATTTCCTTGTACTATCTTCAGAAATTCTCATTTCTGCGTATTTCCATGGCTCAAAGGTTGTACTCTCGGGCCACACCGAGTGGGGCTGGAGGTTTGAGCGAGGTTTTTACCTCAGCGAGTGAAGGTTCGAAACCCTCCCTGGCTGCTGCTTCTGGTTAAAGTTAGCCAGGTGGTTGAGAATCGGCAACAGTCTAACACGGCTCTATCAAAAATGTACCCTCGTATTTAATTGTGAGTATGCGATGAAAATGGTCGACCCGACACAGGGCTATATGACTTTGTGGTGAACTATCCACGTGTGGTGAATGTCAGCCTAGCACGCGCGGTGAATGTCAGCCTGGCACGCGTAGTGAATGTCAGCCTGGCACGCGTGGTGAATGTCAGTCTAGCACGCGCGGTGAATGTCAGCCTGGCACGCGTGGTGAATGTCAGCCTGGCACGCGTGGTGAATATCAACCTGGCACGCGCGGTGAATGTCAGTCCTGTCTCTTATACACATCTAGATGTGTATAAGAGACAGGTATAAGCCACCCGTTCGTCGGTAAAGGTTTTCTAGTCGATAACTTGGAGTGCCGATCATTGATTTTGTCGTTACGCGAAATTCTTCAGAAATAAACGATATAAATAAGTAGAATATTAATACGACGTTAATGTCACNACGTGTGGTGAATGGCAGCCTGGCACGTGTGGTGAATGTCAGCCTGGCACGTGTGGTGAATGTCAGCCTGGCACGTGTGGTGAATGTCAGCCCTGAAAAGCGAGGCTGGTTGACAATATTAGGAATTATTCAAAGATTCAAATCTTTAACCTTACTTGTCTTTGATTTGTATTTCCGTACGCCGTGTAAGGTCAAGTTAATTGATTGTTGGTCGTGGGAGGCTTTTGGCGTGACACCGCAAAAGTGTTACTGCAGAAAATACGGTGGTACTGCAGTAACTTTTGCGTTATTACAGTAATGCGTGTATTCAGCAGCAACTTGTGGTGTTATGTATTAAAGTAGCGTGGTGTGTTACTGCAGACAAGTAAGTGTGTATTATAGGGCAGTTTCGCAAGTGTTAATGCTGCTAATTCGAAAACATTTCTGCAGATTGGCTAGCCTACTGATACAGAACCGTGAGTGTTACGGTAAAGAAAAGGGAGTTGCTGCAGTCCGGCAACCAAAGGACAAACATTTGTATTCGACCAAGCCCAACATATGAACCGACATTCTGCTTCTTATTTCTGCCATCGAATAGGAATCTTTAAACAAGTCTTTTATAATAGCAGTGCAGATGGAATTAATGGCATCACTTGACGAAATTAATGGTATCACTTTGGGTGGCATCACTTCGAGGCAGACAAAATTGGTGATACCACTTTGTGTGCTGACGAAATTGGTGGCATCACTTCGAGGCTGGCGAAATTAGCGGCATCACTTCAGTTGCGCTGGTCTACAGTTATGTGGTCTACACGTGGCGGCCAACTGGGATGAGATGTTATAAAATTTTTAAAAGATGCAATGTATTCAAAAATGGAAGTACTGTCAGTGATTAAAAGCTCATCGAAGTTTTTTTAATGGATGCTTAAACTTTCGAACCATGATTCCTCAACTAACCACATCGAGTATATCATAAACAGTTCCGTATATTCAAACGCAGCTCATTAGGAATTTCATCAAAACTATTTTTGTAATCAAGAATTTAAAAGCAAAACAACATATAAATTCATATCGTGCATTGAGTGGCGTTTGAAGTTTTAACATTAACATTGCGTTTTTCTTGCTTATAAATTTTTGATTAACTTGCGATTTAAGCAGACTAATGATCTACATACATATATACTGGATCTATTATCATAAATGCCCATGCACATTATTTTTATGAAAATTGCAATGCATTCCGACATTTTTGCAATCAGCACAACAAATTTCATCGAACATAATTTATGCAAGTGTTTGGCTGTGAAAGCTTTAATACAACTTCTATTTTAAAAGCGTGAAAGACCTTTTGAAAGCGAACGCTCGTTATTATCTCGACGGAACGCGCCGTTGTCTAAATGCCGAATTGAATGCACAAAAACATCACGTCCGGGGTGGCAGAGAACGGAAACCAAATATTTAATGATTACGTCATAAGCGACCAACAAATTGGTCTTTTCGTAAAAATATATCATAGGAACAAGTTATTTATACTTTAATTGTAAGATGTACTCGTTTAAGGTTCGTTTACGGTGCACTGCTTCTCATGGTAAATTGTCATAATATTAGCCCACTTTTTATGTCCGCAGAACGCATACAGAGCGGACGTAGCACTGTTACTTCTTTTTCCCGAGCTAAACTCGGTCAAGATGACCCACGCACGATAACAAGTGCATCTCTACAAGCGCAGAGCGTCACTCAATTTTCTGAGTATAGCGAATATTTTATTGATTTTATTTATTTATTATAGTGAATAGTTATTGGTGGCTACCGAAAATAGCCTTAGCTCGAGGCATGGCGCGCTGTCTCTGCCGTGCGGGGCGCGAGAGCGAAACTTCCTTGAGTTTTTATGAGACGCGAAAAAAACGAAAGGTCAATGGAGATCAGCGGCCGCGGTTTGAGTGTCGGCGCACAGCCGCCCCTTGAGGAAGTGGTTCACGAGGGAATAGTGAAAAACTTGCCTTATAACAATCTGTTATGATTGCTGGCTCTATGATAATCCTTACTTATAACAATACGTGGTGATTACTAATTATATGATGATCTTTATTTATAACAATTCGGAGTGACTGATAGTTCGCAAGTATTACATACTCATAACAATTTAGGTCTATTAGGCCTATTCCTATTCGTAAACCTATTTCTTGTATTCGATTAACTGCTAAACTAGCTCCCCCAACTTCCATTTGAAGCCAAGAGTCGTTCATGGAAAAGGTTCATGAGGGCATTTTGGAATTTTATAAATTTGCGCCTTGAGTGACTCAATACGAAACACTAATATAAATTCTTTGCTCCTTATTCATAAAAGCCTTTTATTGATTTATTGACAAACCTTCACTTCATGCCTCGGCATATTGTGACAGTGTGGGCCTCAATGCAAGACTAAACTTAATTTATTAACATATAATAAGCTCCTAAGTGAAGATATATAAAAAAATAATGTTGTCGTGGTTAGACAGAAAAGAGTGGATGTTCATAATTAGTTTTGGTGGCTTTGATTACGTTTTCGGTGTCTGATGATCATATTTTTTTAACTTTGCGGGAAGAAAAATCTTGAATGTAGTTGCTTTTGGAGATTGGCAAGCAGAAAAATTATGATAAATTAGGAGAGGAAATAATACGGAGATAGTAAAGAATTTCAGTTCCTTTCACATCAATTAAGAGGGTGACATTAGTTTTTTCTGTTAGTAATAACTGTTGCGCATTATTACCCAATTTCCTCTGCTGTGACATTGAAAATTTTCGGTAAAATATAGTTTTGATTTGCGATGCTAATGAGAACAATTTTAGGCTTATCAATAATGCAGCCTATCTAGTCAGCTATCCAGGACTCTGTTATCAAAACTCTGCTGGACTCCTTATTTTCTGCTAACAAAAGTCATGCGAGGCCCCGTCCTATATTGAGCTGGCGTCCAGTTGTCGAGACGCCAGAATTGGGAAGTTAAAAGCTACACAGAGAAAAATCATATGCATACCTACCTCGTTTTAAACATGTTTTTTATTTATTGTTCCTCCGGATATTTACTGCATTTTCATCTGCAACATATAGCTTTTATTTAATATTCCTCCGGATATTTACTGCATTTTCATCTGCAACATATGGCTTTTATTTAATATTCCTCCGAATGTATACTGCATTTTCATCTGCAACATTCGTTCTGCCGTGCGAAAATAGTGCGTCGCGTAACATATCTACAATTCTCATCTTTGAAGTTAACTGTTGGACTGTAGCAAAGAACAGTTGCTATATAGCATATATATAGTGCAGCTTGCATGCTGGACCACTTCAATTTTTTATACTGGCGACCAAACAATAAATTACTCGGGCTATATTTTTATCTTAATTAATAAATGTAATCGTTTTTGAACGGGACGCTATTTCTCGCCAAATATTATAGTAATATGATTTTTTAGATTTTTTGCTCAATTCTAGAGGGGAATAATGGACATATTTCCTTAAAGGGCATCTTGAATGCAAGAATGAGCAATGTTGGAAATCAAGATTTTAAGTGTATGAAGTAGTTTTGTATAGTCACGAAAATGAACGGCAAGATTTTCATTATTTTATGCAGTGAGTGAGGCGTGTGCTTGGGTAGCTCTTGAAGCTCCGCACAACGATTTATTAAAAGTAACTTCACACCCCTATATGGATAGTTTCAGGGTTTCAGGTCAAATAAAATTAGAAACTCTTCAAAAAACGAGAAAAAATTCAACGTATGCCTCTTCTGCAGAGATAGTGCGGATTTTAGTCATCGTGCAAATTTGCCTTGAGTTTGAACTTCTTCTTTGAACGCGCACTTGTATTATAGGTACCTGGGGAACTTACATGGGGGAAATTACACTGGATTTAAATTCCTGT